CAATTGGTGATATGTTGAAGGCACAACTTTTATCTCGTGCAACCATGGTCTTCCTAAGATGATGTTATATCCCATGTCTCCATCTACCACTTCGAAGAGAGTTGTCTTCATTACTCCCTCAGGGTTTGTGAGCCGCAAAATTTCTCCCCGAGTTGTCACGCTTGCGAGGTTGAATCCGGCGAGTAGTTTCGTTGTCAGGATAATGCTTCTGGTGAGTTTATCTTGCTCCAGTACTCTCCATTGTATGATATTAGCTGAACTTCCTGGATCCATTAAAACACGTTTAATTTTAAAATCTAACACAATTAAAGAAATTACCAGTGCGTTATTGTGCGGTAGCAGTAATCCATCTGCATATTCGTCCGTAAATGTGATATCGTCTTCCCGGAGCCTTTTACTATGAGTTATCGATACTTTTGTCTTCTTCGCTGTCGAAAAGGTAACCCATTAATCTCATTCCCTCCGAAGATCATGTTGATTGTTTGGCGTGGAGATTCTTCTCATACTTTCGAGGTTTTCGCGTCGCCCCTGTTCCAACCATATTTGTTTTTAGCTCAATCACTCAAGAATTCTCTGAGGTGACCATTTTTTAATAATGTTACCAATTCTTCCCGGAGGTATCGGCAGTCCCCAGTCCGGTGGCCATTGGTACTGTGGTATTCACACCATAAATTGGGATCCCTCTAGCTAGTATCAGATTTCATATGTCTTGGGAATCGTGCCTCTTTGATATTCCTCATGGCCGATACCAACTCTACTACATTGACATTCAAGTTATATTGCGATGACTTTGGGTAAGAAGAATCTCACGACCCCGAGATTTCTCTATCCTACAACGATCTGTTGCTCCTGCTGTGATCGGTCCTTCTATCAATGGTGAACTTGTCTACTGTCCGGAAGCTCCTGCCACGACCTTTTGTCCGCTCATAGGGCAAAAAATGGCCTATCGAAATCCGCCTATCCGTGTCAATATCATCTTTCATTTTTTCTTTGTTCTCCCCCCGTCCTTTGGTCGACGATGGAAAGCCAACTTGATCATCTTCTATCCTTATTTTTGACTCGTATCGGTTATGGACATCTGCCCAAGTCGTCGCTTGGAACTCGAGCATACTTTCCTTCAACTTCCGGGAATCGTCTGAACTTCTCGGATTTAAACCTTTGGTGAATGCTTCAGCTGCCCATTCGTCCGGGACTACCGGTAGTAACATCCTTTCCTTCTGGAACCGGGTAACAAATTCTCGTAATAACTCTGATTCTCCCTGTGCGATCCTGAATATGTCGGCCTTTTGGGCTTGTACCTTTCTGGAACCGGCATGGGCCTTGATGAAAGAATTCGCGAGCATCTCAAAGGAATCTATGGAATGCTCGGGCAATAATGAATACCACGTTAAAGCTCCCCTCGTAAGAGTCTCACCAAATATTTTCAGCAACACGGACTCAATTTCGTGAGGAGCCAAATTATTTCCTTTTACTGCTGTTGTGTAAGTGGTAATGTGCTCATGTGGATCTGAAGTTCCGTCATATTTTGGTACATCGGGAATTTTGAACCGCTTCAGGATTAATTCTGGGGCCGCACTCGGCTTGTATGATGATTGAATATACTTCTTCGATTTCGTCCTTTCAATACTGGTGGCGCGCCCGTGATTTGATCCATGCAGGTTTTTACTTCCTTTATGAACCGCAAAAGTTCCTCCTTGAACGGATCATTATCATTGTTAAGGCCGAATAAACTCCCCCCGGTCCCATCGGAGCCAATTTCTCCCCTGGGAGTGTTGTTGTCGACTCTCTGCGTCGTTTGGTTTGCGGGGACATCGGGAGGAATTGGATCTTGCCTATTCGGATTATTTAAAGCACCTGATAGTGCCTGTTTTAGTTCTATCATAACCTGATCCTGCCGTGTGAGATGGCCTAGAATGATTGCCTGTTGTTATTGCAAGACCCTCATTGCATCCACCACATACCCCTCATCAGCATCATCAGGAGTCGTCTCCCAAACCTGTCGAGGGTACCGTCCGTCATGCACTGGTGTGGCGTCGTACCACTCATTGTGAGTGTCACTGATTAAATCCTCGAATTGAGGTTGCTCCCCTTGAATTTCAGGGTTGCGTGTGCCGTTAAAAGTGTTCTTTTGTGATTTTTGCTAAGAAAAAATAATCAAAACACATTAGTTAAAAAGGCAAGTATCAATTTAACTGCACGACTATCTAGGCCCCATGGTAAGCGCCAAACTATTTACCTGAAAAGCAGTACAGTTGAATTTGTTTGTGGTTTCTAGACAAGTGAATTAATTTGATCCAATAAGTAATAAAATAATTGATGAAATATAAAATACTTATCCTTAGAATGTAGATAGAACGACAGAGCTAATGAGTCCAGGAACAGAGTTTCCGGACACAACAATGATAAGATCAAAAGCGAGAAAATAAAATTATATTAAAATGCTATATAGAATGTAGTGTAAGTTAGCCAGAAAATTTGTATCCTTTACAATGATGATTGAGCTCTCTATTAATAGCTATGTCTAAGGAAGGAAGTCCTAGGATCATGCCCTTCTTTAATGTCAATTATGAGGGCTATTGATGAAGATGTAACGTTAGACATAAATGCCAGATTCCTTGTAACGGGCCATTATTCTTAATGCTGTAAAATATTCTATATTAAATATTACCGGGTGCAAAGTATTTAATACTTCTTTTATGATCGTTATTCCTTCCGGTGACAATCGAAATAGCTATGTTTGGTGGTCATCCCCATCTTGTGTTCCACGTGTCCTTCCTTTAAGTGGCCATATGTCATGTCGTATTTTTTCCTATACAGAACACATAGCTAAAGGCAGGCTCTGATACCACGATGTAGAATTTAAACACATACATAGAACCAACACATCAGAAATTATAAAAGGAATGTACCTTCAGCCATGGTTGTTCAAGTGATGTTGGGAATTGCCTTGGAAGAACCTTGACAGAAAACATAAAGCCCTCTAGCCTGTCCTATCGTAGGATGCCAGATAGATGGAGTCACAAGCGTATTTATAGGTAGGCTAGCGACTCTTAGGCAAATACTTTAGCCCTAGGGACTTCTCCATGAGTTATAATTGCCCTAGGGACTCCTAATAAAAAATGTTTTTTTCCATCAAAGAAACTGCCATATATGCATAACTACAGAATATTATCTGATATATTATTTACTTGAGAGACAAGGTAAAAAAAAATTCATTACCTTATATGTGGGTCACTGATCACGCCCAACTATGCCTCATAAGAGGTTTAGCGGTTGTTACAAATATAATCCGGTTTACAAGTTCGGAGTCGAATCCCATAGGGAATTAACCTACTAATCACAACCACTAATTTTGCAAGAATTCAAGTAATCAATCTTCAGAAATATTGAATAATGAGTTATTGTTTACCAACTAAAAGCAAGGTAATTAAAAAGCTGTAGTTTTATTACTAACAAAGCAAATGTTGTAGACAAGATTGGAAAGGTCTAGGGTTACGATTTTCTCTCTCGTCGGAATCCTCCCCGCCACTTCTCCTATAAATTCACCTAGATATTCTCTACCGATCGTGAGTACTTTAGGTGTCGTAAGTCTCTTCCGAGTAAATACAATAATTTACTAGACGTATTCTTCCAAATTACGCTAGCTGGCACTAGTTTACCGCTCACTAAGATCGCACCAAGATTTCGTTTTTCTTAATCCCACCTTTAGACCCTCCGTATTGATTTCTCATATACATTAGGGGTGATGTTGATCAATAACTACCTAAATATGTACTCTTTTCCAAGCAATACACACTAAATAGGCACAATCAATTGAGGGCCTTTCAATCAACCCCAATAATCATGTAGTTGAACAAGTAGAGAAAATCCAATGGCAAACTTATATTAAACGCAACAAAAAATTCATCCTCCAAGAGGTTCCATCAAACCCTAGATGAGAATTTAGCTACTCATAATTGTTTGCACAAATACAATATTAGAATTCATAACAAATGGGAAACTAAGAAGAAAGAGAGAAAAACGTGAAGTTGAATCCTTCTCCTTGCTCCAAGCGTGTTCTTGCCTCTCCAAAGTTTTCTCTCCTTCAAAAAGTGGCTAACTCTCATATTTATATGGTTTAGGGTTGAGTTGGGGCGAATTTGGCTTCTCCTAATTCGGATTAGAAAAGCTAATTTTTTCTGCTCCGGTCCCGTTCTGACGAAGTGAACCTCGCTTCGATGTCTAGGACTTTGCTGGTTTCTTCTGCTCCGGTCCCGGTCTGGCGAAGTGAACCTCGCTTCGCTGTCCGAGACTTTTCTCTTCAGCTTTTTTTCACCAAGTTTTCTCCTATTTGATCCTTTTCCGCGCAGGTTTATTCCTACACATAAGAAACACGTAATGAGCATATTTTCACTTCAAAAGCAGTGTGAACTTCTGCAATTCACACAAGAAATAATACACAAACACATCCAATACACTTTTCAGCATTTATCAGCCACACTAGAAGTCTCTAGAAGGGACGGTAAATTTCTAACATAAGTTTGATTTTGACTTAAAAGGTATTTGCCAACTATAGGCTATCCATGCAAAACTAAACTCCTTGAAATTCTATAAATAAATAATCCCTTGTTTTTTCAAGATATAGAAAATCATTGGAGCTCTTTTGAATCTAAGTAGTCTAATGTGAATTCGTTGGGTCGTCCCTTTTCCTGCTAGTTCCCTGCCAAAAATCCTTAAGCTAGTTTATTCTTAACCTTAACAATCGTAGCCGCTGATTTAGATCACTTAATGGGAATAGCAAAACTTAACCGTTTCGCTAACTGCATCTAAACCAAGAGTCGACGAATATAATCTTATATAACAACTAGCGACTTTATCGATCTGTTATCCTTATTTACCTTTACTTTAGATAACAACTCGTAGATCGTAGTGAACTACCTAACTTAATTTTTATTTTTTTAAGATAAGAAAGGAGTAGATACTAAAACGTGGCCATATGGCCCCTATATTCCGCAACCTTCGAAAACCTTCTTTCTCACTTTTCTCGGCTAACCAAAGACGTTTCCTATTTTTATGCTAACCAAATACTTAAAAACTCATACCTAGAAGCTTTTCCTTTACAATAAACACAAAATATTCCACTTTTCACTCACTCTATATGAGTTATTGGCAATTTAGACTCCAACCAAAGCTTGAGTGTTGAGACTCAAGAAACTGCTCTTAGTTTAAAGGTGGGAAGTGAAGAAATGATTAGTGAAAGTTCAATTCCTCTTAATTAATTATTGGAAGGAGAAATGATTAGCCTAGCATTGCTGAATGCTAGGCAGCCAAATGTGGTTTCAAGGCAATGAGTTCATACAGCAAATTAAGGTATCTAAGAAATCATTTAACATTATTCGACTATTTTCGAAATGATTTTTCGCATTTTATTTGTTTTGTATTTCAACCTCATCTTTAGCAATGTATCATGTGTTGTGAGAATGAATACAAATTCACTATGTTTTGTGCTGCTATCAATCTACCAAAACACTTCTCTTTTATGTGAACTTGGAACCTGCATTGTCAATAAACTCTCAATTACTTTTTTGGAATTGAAGCGCAGTTATTGTTGAACGTTACTTTCAGAAAGTTGCTAGCTTGGTTTACCTGCAGCCATGTCGTCACCACCTTGCTNCCCCCCCACACACACACACAATGAAAATTCATAAGATAAGTCTCGTCTTTTGAAATAAATAAAATTTTCTTTTTTTTTCACGTAGAAATTGAGATAAGGTATTACGGTCGCTCCTCCATAAATTCACATATCGGTTTTGGTAAAAAGGCCACATATGTCGAGAAGAGGCCAACTGATTATCTTTTATCGTGTATATAAGTCAAATCCTGTACTAATACATAAATATTAAATCTTGACAACTTTAGTGAAATTTCTGGCTTTGTCACTATACGTGACCACTCTCGTCCTTGTTCGAATCTAATACGATAAAACAATTGCACCTTCTTTAAATGGATCGACTGTCTTAATCCAATCTGATTTTGTTCTTTCCTACTAAAAATGGTCTAGTTTTTCAATATGTTACTTAAAATCAACTATCTCATTGATATGATACAATGTGTACTTCATGGAACTTTGGTTTGGTACATATATGCATTGGTATGTAAGTATTTTATTCCCCTCAATTGCAGACACCTACTGAAACAAATGTACAACAAACTTTGAACAGCATTGAGTTAACAAATAAGCAAATCCCTCAGCAAGAAGAATTTACGAAGAAAGAAAACCAATTTGAACAGAATGGTGTTTTCAGTTCTAGCATTAGTCCTAGCAGTTCAGATGATGGATTCACATGGAGAAAGTATGGACAAAAGCGCGTAAAAGGGAGTAATTTTCCAAGAAGTTACTATAAATGTACTCAGCAAAGTTGCCCTGTTAGGAAGAAAGTAGAGTGTGCACCAAATGGACAGGTTATAGAAATTGTCTACAATGGTGCTCATAATCACCCGAAAACTCAATCTATTCGACGACCAAATATGGATAATTCTTATGTAATTAGGGAAGTGGAGGAAATAGGCCAAGAAAATGCATCAGTTTGGAGAAACCAGCAATTTGAGTGTAATAAGAATGTTATAAGTTACAATGATAATGGTCTAAAAAGAACATCCTCTGCATCTGTCTTGACTGAAGTTTCTGATCCAATGTCAACCAATCCAAAATCCATGAATGTGTTTGAATCAGCTGGAACTCCTGAGCTTTCTTCTACACTTACTAGTTATGATGGCGACGACGGAGATTGGGCCACTCAAGAAAGTACTCTCCTTGGTGATGATGTCAATGAGTATGAATTAGAGCCAAAAAGAAGGTACCTTTGTTCTTCTTTCGCTTTATCTATTTCTGAAATGAGTTTAACCTTTATACACTGATAGTATAAAACCGTCTAAAAGATAACTACAGGCAATCGTCCATGAAAAAGTGGGATTAGTAACCTAGAAAATAAGGCAGATAGAAAATACACTAATAATAGTGTAAAAAACTTTTAGAGGAGGGTTATTATGTGAGTGTTTACAACACTAATGGTGATCCATTGCATTTATTTAAGATGTGGAATTACCCTTGACCTCAGGAAGAAAGAAAGTTATTCAGCTGAACCAAGTTTATTATCAAGAACAGTGAGAGAATCAAAAGTAGTCCTCCAGGTAGAGAGTGAGATCGATATTCTTGAAGACGGCTATCGCTGGAGAAAATATGGCCAAAAAGTTGTCAAAGGGAACCCAAACCCCAGGTATCTATTTATAGGAGGATAACATGTAAATTTCTTAGTTGTAGTTCCCTTGACAGCTTTCTTTTGATTCTATTCTTTTAACTCTTGGAAGGGAAGCCTTGGCGTAACCGGTAAAATTGTTGACATGTTACCAGGAGTAACGGGTTCGAGCCGTGGAAACATCTTCTTGCAGAAATACAGGATAAGACTGCGTACAATAGACCTTTGTGGTCCGGCCCTTTCGAGGACCCCGCACATAGCGGGAGTTTAGTGCACCAGACTGCCTCTTAACTCGTTGATATTTATAAAGAAATGTTTCCTGTGTAGGAGCTACTATAAATGTACCAATGCTGGATGCATAGTGAGGAAGCATGTGGAAAGGGCTTCAGATAACTTAAAATCAGTAATCACAACATATGAGGGGAAACACAACCATGAAGTGCCTACAGCAAACAAAACAAATGGTGTTGCTGGACACATTCGTTCAGCATCCACGTTGAACGGGCAACCTAATTGTATGACAACTCGAAAAAGTGTCAAAGGTTCAAATTGCAGAATGCAAGTTCAAGATCTTCCATTTCCATTCGAAAGAAAACCTTTCGTTGGAAGTGAATATTTAAGGCCAAGTTTTGTTGGAAGTTACCTCGGTGACTTGAGTTTTGGAGCTTGTTCATTGCAGCTTCCGAATTTTCCATTGCCATTGCCATCGCGAATGAGTTTTCCTGCAAGATTAAATGAGCCTCCTCTTGGTGACTTTCATTTGAATAACCATCATTTACTGCCAAATGGTACATCCAATTCTTTTCTTGCAGTTGGGAATATGCAACATATTAACGATGACAACAATAATTCAAGTCTCCTTAAAGCCAAAGAGGAGATTCAGTGGACTTAGCTCTGTCTTACTGGCTTCTGATGCATCGTTCAATATAGATTTTATTCTAGTAGATGCATGTGCACTCACTGCTTTCGACTTAAATAATATATATATAGTACCAGGTTAGGGAATATATGTATTTATACTATCAGGGTGTCACCAGACGATTCTATGACACAACAAATATAACTTCAATGACCAGGCATAAGAAGGAGAATTTGAATCTAAACATAAAAAAACCTTGAATGAGATCCAAATCAGAATAATATGGCACCTATCACCAGGGGCGGCTCAATAAATTTGGGGGCCTAAAGCGCAAACTTCTGCGCGAGTTCTTTTTAAGGATATTTATACAATTAGCCGAACACAATCACTATTTATTTTTTCTAACCAGTATATAGAAATTATATGCGTTTATACATATTATATATGGATTATATATCAACTGGTTATTTAAGTTAATTCTTCCTTTTTTGAAAAAAGAAATCCTATATTATCTTATTTAAAGTTAATTTTTTAGCTTTTTGAGATGTAAGGTTATTAAAAAATTATAATCGGCTTTTTCAAATAATTCTTTTTTAATAATATATCTAACACATTTAATCTCTCTTGATCCATCTTTGATATAGGTAAGAATTTATTAATTTTAATTTAAAAGAAAAATCACTAAGGCAATTATTACAGAAACTATTAACATTATTCTATAAACAATATATGCACTTATTTGAAAAGGAATCAAACTTTTTTTTCAAGATTAAATAATTTATCTTTTAAGAAATATTAACATATGCAAATACTAATTATTAAGAAATTTGGGGTCCCTATAATTATGGGCCCTAAAGCAGTTTCTTTGGCTGCTTTACTGATCATAAGCCGACTCTGCCTGTCACATCCACTGATGCACCACACGCAAACAAAAGGAAGGCAAAAAATTGGGATCTTTTGTATCTATATCCGATTTTGGGATCACAATTGAATCTATACTCACTTTGCAAAAATATTTGTAAGCCTACTCATTTTACGATCAATTTCATACTTATCGGGTCTGAAGTTAAAAAAAAATTAGTCTGAAGTGAAAAAATTGCACTTCAAATGCACTTAAGGCCAAATAGGTATGAAGTGCAACCAATGTGGTTTCATGCACTTAGACCAATACGTCTGAAGTGAAAAATTGCACTTCAGATGAACTTAAGGCTAAAAGACCTGAAGTGCAACAAAAGTTTTCCTACACTTAAGGCTAATAAGTTTGAAGTGAAAAATTACACTTCAGATGCACTTACGGCCAAATAAGTCTGATGTGTAACCAATAGTTTCATGCACTTAAGGTCAATAAGTTTGAAGTGAAAAATTGCACTTTAGATTCACTTAAAGCTAAAAGGTCTGAAGTGCAACAAACGTTTTCTACAATTAAGACTAATAATTCTGAATTGAAAAATTGCACTTCAGATGCAATTAAGGCCAAAAGGTCTGAAGTGCAACCAACGTTTTCATGCACTTAAGGCCAAATAGGCCTGAAGTGCAAATTGCCCTGAAAACATAAATTTTTCTTCAAATTATAACAGTATAATATACGATTTAATACCTAAATCTACTCCAAATGAGCTCAAATTTAAAACATAACCTCCAAATATCATCAAGAACAAACCACAGTCATCAATTTGTCAAAACAACAATAAATCTAACGAACTCATTTTGCAATTTAAAAAAAAAAGAAGAAGAAATCCTAAGCAATAGTAAAAAATAAAGCGTCATAATAACTCACCACTGTAAAACATCATAAACTATCTTAAAATATGTTCATAAACACCAAATAAAATCACTGTCACCCGAAAAAGAAGAAGACCTGAAGTTGTTTAAAAATAAGTATAAGTTTAAAAAAATAAAAAAATAAATATAAATTAAATAGGGACGATGACATCACTCCCTAGTTGATGGTATTTTAGAGATACGATACACCACTCCCATTTGCATTTCAGGAACTAGGAACTTGCAACTTGCATAACAGGCCAAAACTAATGTGTCAACTAGGAACTTGCAACTTGCATAACAGGCCAAAACTAATGTGTCACCTGACTGAGTAATTGGCCCACTTTTATCACTATCACTAACATGAACACCAATCTTTATGAACATATGTTGCGTCATTGTATAGCATTAAGCAAAGCACATGTAAACGATTCATTAGCCAACAATGAATCCGAGTACAATTACGTGATTAACATTACATGGATAGATACATTTGACCACTCAACAATATCATTAAGAAGCAAAAGTACCATCGCTCTCTGAGACGTATGAGACGTGTAATTACTAATTACAATAAAACCTTTCTATAACAGTATCTCTATATAATAATCATTCATTATAAAAGTCTAGTTTTTCTCAGAACCAATTTTTTATGTTATATTTTACCTCTATAACAGCTTTCTACCTATAACAGCAATAACCATCTTTATAACAGTACGCTCTTTGTAAAATTACCCCTCTATAATAGCCATGTAGATTTTCTAAGATTATTATTATTAATAATTCTAAATATTTTAATCAAATATTTTATAACTTTTATATAAAACTTATAATAGAAATATATATCTTAAAGATAACAGTACGTTCCATGAAAATATGCACATTATTATTATGTTTTTTTAAGATCTTCAAATGATATATTTTTCATTAGAAAAATGCCACATTTATACTTTTTGAAGATATGCATATCATTCTTTTTTATTTGAAGATCTACACATGATATATTTTATATTGGACAAATACCAATAATATGTAAACGTAATAGATTCATATTTTTTTAAGATATGCACATCATAATTTTTTATTTGAAGAGATTTGCACGTGATACTCTTTTGCTGAAAGTTTGGATGCAAATCTTCACCGATTCAAGCGTTATACCGCTAGTAAGAGACTGGAATCTACGAAACAAGCTACAATTATGGAGTTCTTACATCAATCTTGAAAGATTTAATTGTGTGCCTTAGAGTTTAAATGTTTGTACGTTTAGTTATGAATTTTTTTAATAATGTATTATATTTCTTTAGCATTTAATTCGTGAAATATTCATATCTTTTGAGATTTTAAATTTAAATATTTTTTTACCTTTATATGTAATATTAAAAAGAAAAAAAATAATTTTTGGATAATTTTTGTCTATAACAGCCAAAATATATTCAAACGCCAAATATTGTTATAGGTGTATAACAGCTATTCATTATAAAAGCCAAATATTTCGGAATAAACGATGTTGTTATAGAGAGGTATAACTGTACCTGGTGATGAAATTACTAGGGTAGTAACTGCACCCACTGATAATTACATAGTACAATAATTATAATGACTTGTTTGTTTGCCTGAACATATTCTCAGTGTCATAGTTGGCTGGACAAGTATAATTACATAGCTAAATAAACTTTTTAAAAAATTAACATATCTAAATATATCAAATAATATTTTAAATAATTTTAAATTAATAAAAAATATTTTAAAGTAGTAAGTATCTTCCGAATAAATAATATTATTACTTAAATTAATTAATCAAAATTGCAATAATTAATTATTTTTTACTAACTCATTAACGTGTGGTATGTACATGTATACATAAGAAATGCTAGATATTATTTATAATCGTAAACTATATTTTTTAAACATAATTTTTTAAAATATATCTTAACTTAAAATAATTAATAAAAGTTTAATTGTGAATTAAATTTTTTACCAACTCGTATGAGTAAAATATAAAATTTATGATTTGTTGTAATTTTTAAATAACAGATATTAAAAGGTATTTTTTAATTAATTATCTTAGACTAATGAATAAACAATAAAGCTGATAAAATAAGAAATTGTGTTTAACAACTAAGAAAAACAAAGAAAATAGAAAAGGAAGAGGCAAAGAAGTTATAAAATTATATGGAAGCACACCAAAAGTGTGATGACCCGATAGATCATTTTAAATTTAAGCATTTATTTCCGTATTTTGAGATTTTGATTAGCTCTGTTTAACGTACCTCGATTTGCGTGCACAACCAGTGTCTTGTTCCGGAAAGTCTTTATGTGAAAAATTAAAGAAAATATAAATTTTTACTTTAAAAATAATTTGAGTTGACTACAGTTAACATTTTATGTAAACTGACCCGAATCAGTATTTTGACAGTGTCGGTGGGACCGTATCGTGATTTGGGATTTGAGCGTATGTCCGAAACTTAATTCAAAAGTCTCTAACTTGATTTAACATAATTTGTTGAAAACTAGTAATTTGAAGGCTTAAAGAATTTCGAAATTTGACCGTAGGTTGACTTTATAGCTACCGATTTCAGATTTCGGTATCGGGACTTGGCTTAAGTTCATTTTACTATTATTGACTTATCTGCAACATTTGGTTCAAAATGGAGTTGATTTGACATGATTCGGATGCTCGGTCGTAAATTTGGAAGTTCTTAAGTTTCATGAAAAATTCCATACATTTTGATATTCGATTCGTGGTTCTAGGTATTATTCTGGTGTTTTGATCAGGCAAACGAGTTCGTATGATGTTATTACACTTGTGTACATATTTGGTTTGGATCTCGAGGGACTCAGTGAGTTTCGGATAGGCTACGGACCCCTTTTGGACGTAGAAGTTGCTGGTTTCAGTATCTTCTGGTGTCTGTCACTTTATGCTTCGCGATCGCGAAGGAGTAATGGAGTTCGGGAGGAATTTCTTCTACGCGAACGCGGGGACTTGGTCGCGAACGCAAAATAGCGGGGGTTTTACCTTTCACGAACGCGGTCTTTCCCTCGGAACATGATGGGTTATGGGACCTGGGGACAAGCTGGGCAGTACGTGAACGCGAAGACAAGGGGGGCTAAGCCTTCGTGAACGCAAATGATTGATCACGATGGCCACTTGGCCAATGCTCTTCGCAAACGCGTCAGGTGTTTCGCGAACGCGAAGAACACCTAACGCCTAAGTATTCAAAAGTTGGGATTTTCTTCACTTTTTACCATTTTCAAATTTGAGCTCGGCCTAGAGGCGATTTTGAAGAGAAATTTCATCCCAACTCCATAGGTTAGTAGATTTTAACGTGTTTTCTTCCATTTTCATAAACACACATTGATTTCTAACCTTTAATCTATGCTTTTAATGGTAAAAATTAGGAATTTAGGTAGAAATTAGGGATTTTAAAAAATTGAGATTTAGACCTCAAATTGAGGTCGGATTTCGAAACTAATCACATAATCGGGCTCGGGTGAATGGGTAATTGGGTTATGATCCGAATCTCGGGTTTTGACCAAGCGAGCCCGGGGCTGACTTTTATTAACTTTTTTCAAAATCATTAAAGATTGAATCTTTATCACTCGTGGGTAGTTTCTAAAACTTATTTTGAATTGTTTGAACT